ATATATATAACTGGATATATTTGCTAATGATGTGCTACATTCCATTTTACTTTGTAGTGTTCAGTCATGAGCTTCCCTTTCATATTTTATTAATCTGTGGTATCTAGAACACAGCTGCCTCTGACTCTGCAGGTATAAATGCCATAAAATTATAGATGTCTGCATGAAACTGAGTGGGAGAGACATTCCAAATTGAGGCACTTAAAGCAGCTCAAGTGTCAGTTGAAGCTGAACCTATAAAAGGGTGTTTGAGTGTCAGCTGAGATTAAAGCGACCCATCAGAAATGTCAGTCAATACTTAAGCACTAAAAGCTTCTAAACAGTCGATGGGAGAGAATTTTTCAGAAACAGAAATGTTATTATCATTGTATTCTCAGTTATAAAGTTTGGTGTCAAGAGTATGGTGGAAGATTGCAAGACAAAACTGCTTATGGAATGCTAGGGGTAAGCCTAATAAAGAAAAATGCACTTTAGCATGTATCATTAATGATAAATGCATGATTAGTTTTGTACAGCAATGTAAAATAAGGAGATTATGACAATCCCAGAGAATAAAGTTTAAATGTCATCCAGGGGACAACCATTTTTGCTTGACTTAGACAGAACTTTTCCATGCTGTCTGTTATTTCCACAACCCACGGCAGACATAAGGAGACAAAGTTCCATCAATTAGGCAAAGAACTCTCGCCTCCCAAAATCCAGAAATAATCTCAGGATCCTCTGGAGAAAGGTGTTCCGGTCACAGCAGGTGCTATATATGTTCATTCCATCACCTTCTTTGTTCAGTTCACTTCTGTAAGGCAACTTCAAAATGATGATTGGCAAAAGCATTAGGGTTTGGAGATGTTATTACTATGTATTTAGTTTTTTATTATGTTCAACCTTTTCCTTTCCTCCACCAAGTGTAGTAATTAAAATTGGGTGACAACTGTAAACCATTCTGTAAACAGTAAACTAAGGGTCAACATCCAAGAAAAATTACAAGCTGCATTATGTAATTTATAAGAAATCTATTCGTGCTCTGTTTGATTTAGTTGACAGTAATGGTTTGTTTTTCGCTTCCTGCACTCCCCTACACTGATCCAAAATCCACAGTCCTCGCATATCGAGGTTACAAATCCTTACTATGGAAGAATATCCATCTGTGATGGCCTAAAATAGCCAACATAATCCCTGCAATAGCTCACTGTTGAGGCAGAGATACAGGAAATGGCACATCAATAATATTGCCTAACCCAAGAGAGTGCAGCTCTCCTGTTACCTCCCATCACGTTTCTCAGAAGTCACAAATGAACACTGTAAATCAAACCAAATGCACCCTCCTGCTACACTGTTCAGAAAGCACCAATCTGAAATGTAATAATAAGGAATTAGTTTTAGAGCAGATAGAGGATTACATTCAAAAGCCTGGTGGTTACCATAAGTCTAAAGTGGGTTGTCAGCATCACGTGTACTCACGCTGCAGAGTGCTCTCTAGCTGGGAGCCTGCCTGTAGAAGGCAGCGGTAGCTCTCCATCTCCTCCTTGGACTCTTTCCTCAGCTCTCTGTCCTCCTGCAGTGAGGCTGGGCCCATTCCCTTCGTCTCTGACACGAGATCAGCCAGAGGAGAACTGACGCTACTTTTGGGAGGTAGAGACAGTATCCCGGGCCTCACATCCTCTTCACAGCCCCATGGCTCTCCATAGCCATTTATTTAAACAAGGAAAGTTTTCCCACCTCCCTCCGCGGGTCCCAAGATCCAGATGGGACAATTCCCCGAGGCTGCCGCTGGCTGTTCCTGACCTTGAGCTGCATAGAGCGCCTCCACACTGAGCAGCACAGCTACGACAGGAGAACTGTCCACACAGGCAAACAAAACACTAGTATGTTGTCTCGTTGTCGCCCCGAGCGAGTGCGAGGTTTCCCCCTCCACCCTGCCCTGCTCTCAGCAGCAGTCAGCTACTTCAAAACAAACAGAGCTCCTCCATCTGGACACTGCTGCCTCCCTCTCCCCTCTGCACTCTCCCTCTCTCTGAACATTAATGCGTCAGCTCTGCATCGCAGGGCTCAAGAGTCCGGACCCGATATGGTGCCAACTCCCTCCCAACTTTTCTGCTCTCTCACACACACCAAGCCTTCAGCATGTCACTGACTAACAGTAGCCTGAAGTGTTAGGCTGCTTGGCTATCATGCTCATGTGCCTATTTCTCCAGTGTCACTATAATATAGATGCACAAACTGAGGAGAATAGCGCCATTGATAAAAAATTAAAATCTTCCACACCCTCAGCCAACAAGTTTGACCCTTGTGAAACAGCCTTTAATACACAACAATCACATTCAAACCGAAGAACAAATATGAAAGAGTGGCATTGTGTACATACTGTTGCAGTGTCTCTCTCTCTCAACCCAACTCCCCACAGCTCAGCCCACAACTCCCTGGAATAGATCAACTGCAGAGTGCAGAAAACGTGTAAATATGCATGTATGTAAATCTCTCCTATACAGTGACGGCGATTTAATGTTTTGTTTTGTTTTTAATCCGAGGCCATGCATGGAGCAGTGGGAGAGCAGTCACTCAGCTGATCCAGCTTAGCCTCTCAGCCCCCCCCCCAGGCACACACATTCAGATCTTCCATCAGACAAAACCTGCTGACACAACATGTGGTGCAAAGCAGCACAAAGCAGTTTGTATATCTTCAAAACATTCTGCTTTATTAAAGAACAACATCTGGTTTTTAATATAATTTTTTTTTCAAAGAGGTACATTCAGCTTGGAGGTTTAGAGTGTTGAAGCTGGAGACCCAAAAGGCTGGAGGTGGCAAGATGTCCCTGCTGTGCAGAACTGCTGCTGTGCCCACCTCCACCCCTCACAGACAGGGTCCGCAACCACAAAGCCTCTCGTGCTTATTTTTTTTTTCTTTTTTTAACATTTTGATTTTATAAAAAAAAGTGGCTGGAAAAAGGTTGCATTAAAAATACAATCCATTCTTTTTACTTTTAATTTAGACAGGCAAAATTAGATTTGAACACATTTTAAGCTTCGAAAATAGCATTTCTTTTTTCCATATATATGTAACTTAAAGGTTTATATCTGGTAACAAAGCAGGCAGCCCCTTCTGTGAATCATCTTACATCCAGTTATCTCTGGCACAGGTCTTTAGGTGACCAAACAAAACAAAAACAAAACAAAACCCCTGCTTTCCATATAAATCCTTAAAGTCCCTTAGGCCTAACAGCTGCATTTGCCATTGTGCAGATGATTTTTTTAAATTTTATTTTTACAGCTATTTAGGTTACAGTCAGGGAGATTTAATACACAGCATGTTTGAGCAGAGATCAGCAAAGCAGTAGTTAAAATCATCATAAAGACATATTCTATACAGATTGGCATCTAAACATAAATAATCAGTAACAATGATCGCTTTCAACTTCAACTTGCAGTTAAACCACCAGACAAAAAGTAGTGGCATTGGGTCCGAGGCTAATTTTGGGATGCCGAATGTCTTCACAGAGGAGGGTCTGCCTGCCTTTGTGTAGATAAAATTGACTATTTAATGACACTGGCACAGTCTCACAACAGAGCTGTAGTAAAACAGGCCAACTAAAATGACACAAAGCAGAACACGCTCCACAATTTAAAACTGAAAGTAATAAAAAATATAACATTTGTGAGTCAAATTACATTTACTTAATAATAAATATGCAAAGTACACAATATACACTTGTGAAGAAAAGAAAGGGGAAAAAAAAAAAAAGAAACAAACCAAAGCATCATCAAAAGAGTCTGAAATCATGTAATTATGTTTAAATGGAATGTATGAAGCACTACACACAAGTTAAAGGAAGAAACAAGGGGCCAAACGGTCCACTCCAGAGAGTAGAGTCTCACAGTGGCATTAACTATTCCGATGAAGCTGGTTTTCTTTAATCCCCAACTTCAGCCTGACTGAGACAAAATAAGCAAACTTGTAAATGGCTAAGAATACAAATACCTCATTTAGGCTCTAGTACATGTGTGACATTATGTGTAAGGTGGTTACTGTTCGTGTAATGTTCTTCTCTGATATGTGCGTGTGTGCGCTCAGGCATATATTCATGTGCCTTGGTGACCATCTACACAATGCAGAAACCAGTTTCCTTAATAGTGCAGAAAATGTCTAACAGAACTACATCAGTAAGGTTTCAAGTAATCCTGGTTTACATTACACACAGGCATTTGTGGCTATTCTCACCCAGTGCATTTGCCCTACACTTGTGTCACACCCATACAACAAAACATCACTTTTAGGGCACGTGAGTGCGGACAGACTCTGATCGCATTGCGTTCATGTTTTTGGCTTCAAGCAGATGCTAACAATATATCTCTATACTACTGTACATATATTAACTTTCTCATTCAAATCTGACTCTCTTGAACTATCTCTGAGGTTGGAATATTGGAGGTGACGCTCCAAGCAATGTCTCATTGCCAGAATATCCTTAAAATCTCTAATGCATTTCTTAGCCTTACATAAACACACGCAGTTTTTGGACTGAGGGTTGATATGACCTCTGCTGACCCCTCATATCTTAGTATTCAATATAAATGGCATTACTAGATACAAATAAACATCTACAACCAGAAAACCACTTTAACAGTCGTTAAGCTGATCTGAGCTGGGCTGAAATCACATTCAGTAACTTTTCATCCCAAATGATTTGGATCCGTTGAGGAGTGTGTTTACTAAAATATTTGAAACAATTTAAAACTTAACAGTTGAAAAGTGTAATAACACTAAAGTAGAATAACCTCTGAAACTGTTGATAATATATTAAAAAAGCTTGTAGAATGCAGAGACTAAACGTTGGTGGAGTTGTGTTCTTTTGAGCCTTCTTTCATGCACATTTAGCATTCTTGAAGTGGATATTTCAGCTGCTTGTTAAAACAGCAGATGAATAGAGCTACTGACAGGGCAGCCATGTATGCATTCGTTTCTATAGTAAGGTACAAAAAAAAAAAAAAGAAAGAAAACTCATGCCTGGGGTCTAAGTAGATACTGTATAAAAGAATGTAGAGCACTGCTCTGTAAGCATGCATGAGAGGTGGCTGCTTTTTGAGGTTGGACAGCGAAGGACGGAGAAGGAGACACACAAGTCAAAAGACTTTTAAACCCTCTCAAAGGACCGAACGTGTTTCTTCTGATTTTTTTCCATCTCCTCCTTTCAGATGGCAGACGGTCTTCCTTGGAACGGGACCCTGAATGAGGTTGACGTGACTGTTATGAGTCCTCGATGCCTTTTAGTCGCGCTCCTTTAGATGCTTGTACGATAGTGGCATTACTGCTGCAATCTGAAAAGGATTGGGTGAGCAGATGTTACCTGATGCCTTCGTCATAAGTTCATACCAACAAGAGGACAAGGACGAGACACCTTGAAATCACACCCCAAATGAATAAGCAGTGATTAACAACATGAAGGTCACTACAATGCCACCGGTTTCCTCCACCAGATTAAAAAAGAAATTAATAAAGGAAATGATCCCGATTTGATCCAAGTCTACTGAATTTCTGAAGCTCAGCAGAGACACTAAGCAAATACAGAAGGTTAGTGCTGACTCTTTGTTTACCTTGATGTTTGTAGGAGGGATTCCAATGATGGCTACAGGGAAAGTAGAAATGTGAGTTAAACTCTGCAAGCTGTCATACAGTCTCTTTCTAAAATTGCGCAACCAGAGACGATAGTCAATAGTGACAGATATGTGCAACATTCAGTCCTTCATCCAGAGGGTGGACAAAAACTAAATGTAAACACCCAAGGATATTTAGCACAACATCACAACACAATGGCTGCTTTTCATTATTCGCAGTGTTTACATTTTTTTGTGTTTGATATTTTTTTCGTCTACCCCCTGTCATGAAGTAGCATTTGGGCAGAGCTTATGCCAACATCACATCATGCACCGAGTCATGCAATGCACTCACATATAAAACAGTAAGCAGACAGCCACGACCAATTAGGGTTTGGATATACACACAGAAGACAGTGACCACGACAAATGATTAAACCACATTGTTACAAACAGCACAAATATTTCAGAAAATGGGGCCAAAATCATAGGCCAGCCCTGCTGTTTCACACTGTTGGGTAAAGAGGATGAAACCACCACAGACACTTCACACACAGACACTCTTACAAGGTCCAAAAATGCGAGAGGCTGAAATAAAGATTTGGATTTGAAAGCACATCTGCGCATGCAGAAAGGTAAATACAAGCTGGGCATCGAAAGGGAGGCTGAAAGGAGCACGAGCTTGCACAAAAAAAACAAACAGAAAAAACAAAAAACTTTTGAAAGATTAGGTCAATGGATGCTTTCACATATCAAGTGAATGCACCATTTGGTCAGTTTAATAGAAATGATTAAACAAAACAAGAGGCATGGGAAAAGCGCATCTCTTCAGCCAGCCAATATGAGCCTAACACAACACACAAGAACACAAAGAGTCTAAATAAATGCGGCCTTTATGCTACCGTCTTTGATTTCCTTGTTAAAACTCAAAGTTAGAGATGAGAGAGCTGCTGGACTGGTTGACTGGGGGAGCAAATCACTGATTGGCTTAAATGGCCTGAAAGTTGGCTGGTACCTGTTTAACTGACAGTATTGGACTCATCTGAAAAGGTTCTCATGAGCAGGGGCCTGGCTGACGACCGGGGTGACTGGATGCCCCCTGCGCTTGACTGAACCAGCTTCTTCTAGAAGGGTGAGGCAAGAGACACCAGTGACGACACTACGCTGATAATCACATACATACTTTGCCTTTCTCACCATCTTGTGCTCTCTTTTGCACACAGACATAAATATATAAACAAAGAACAATTAAATACATTCAGAAAGACTTCAAAGTAGACATGTAGACAATGAAAATTAATCCAGGAGCCATTTTAGACAACCCTTCTAAGAATGATCCGTTTTGGAAGCCCTTTAGTCGACTTTTTAATAGGTTCAAATAATATAGGGTGACTATTCTTGCAAATTTCACAAAATAAGTATGTCTTAAGACATATACAAACGCACACTCACACAAACACACACACACTGTCAGGCTTGAGGATCCAGGATGAGGTTGTGAATTTGGGCCTCATGCAGGTACGTTTGGATGCTGTGATGTGCTGCAGCCACCTGACTGGACATGCGAAGGCAGCAGGCAGTGGAGCAGCAAAGGCAGCTGGGAGGAGACACTGACTGATACAACTAGGCAGACAAGCATGGCAGACTAACAGCAAGTTTTTAGCATGGACAACCTGTCCTACTCCACACTGCTGGAAGAGGTGGCAGCGTGCCATTCTTCCCAGTGTCACAAAAAAGAAAATCCCTCAAGTCAAGGTTTAAAATGGTGCCTTCCAAGGATAGCATTCCTGATATGTGACACAGTACATCAGAAATTTGAAATGTCTGACCTAATCTGTCCAAGCAAATTGGACTATTAAAATCTACAAAACAGCAGCCTGAGTTATTATAGGTGAAGAAAGGAGTCGAAACAGTGGGAGAGGAAGGACACAGAAGTAGGAAGCAGGCAAGTGGTGCACAGACACAGAAATTCTGAAGTATAAAAGCTGACAAAGAAAAAGAGACCTCAGTCACTCCATGAGAAGCTGTGAGAGCTAGCAGTCTGTGACAACATGAAGATAGTGGATGTCCCAGAGGAAGGAAGGCGATGTTTCATCTTTAGGGAGGATTGTCCAGAGAAGTAAGAGAGAAGGAAATAAGAGGGTGAGATAGTTATGAGTGTGTTAAAGAGCAAAGCATTAGCACTAGTTAGGAAAAAGTAGGAAAGGTGAAAAATGAGCCTAAAAAATAAAAATATGTGCACCATACATACGCAAGTCCTGAATATTGTACAAATCTGCAAGTTATGTGGCTCTCCACAAATATGAGCAAAACTTCTCATTTAGTTTATTACTTCTCCCCCATCCAAAAAAGGAATAAAAATCAAGTCTAGACACAATAACAAAAAACCCACAGAAAAGAGCAAGAATACCACCAATCATTTCCATCTGCTTGCAAACACATTAGAGAGCCCACTGAAATGACAAAATATGCCTCTGGCAGACTTCTGGTGGAAGTTAAATAAAAACAGCCTTCAGAAATAATTCAACAACAGGCATAATTTTAAAGACGCACAGACACTTAAAAAAATTATCTCTTGGTACACAAAATATGTTTTGGGGGTGGTTGGCTTGTTTTTTTAGGTTTCTTTTCAAACCCTTTCTTCTCTCATTAAACATATCTCTTAAAACCCCCTAATATAAACCTGCATAATGTACGTCATGCTTTAAATAGCCAGCAGAGGGCTGTAATAGATCAGATATTTGTGCTTTCAAACATCTTTTTTCCACTTCTGAATAAGGTCAGATGTAATTTACCCCTCCCACCACCTTCTTCCCAATGATCTAACACCAAAGCAAAGGAAGTGTGAAGAGAGGCAAACAGCTCCGTAAAGATCTGCATTGCTCTATGTTAGCAAAGCCATGCAAATGTTATAATCAGCAATCGCATTAAAATTCCTTGATTTAAATCCTTCCCTGAACAGTACTTCATAAACCTCTATCAGTTCAACCTAAAATATATTAAACATATGCTCCATCAACAAAAATAACCATTAGCAAAAATAATAATTAGAAAAGAACGAATAAAGGGAAGGGAGAGAGAGAAAGAGAGGGGGAGAAAAGAGAGAGGGAGACAGAGAGAGAGAGTTATAGCACTACCTGTCGAGCGTAAGGGCCGCGGGGCTTGCGGAGCACCACGTAGAGGATTTCTGGCAATAGGCTGAGCAGGATGAGCACGATGATGACCAGCCAGGCTGACACCGAGCTCAGCATGTTGGCAAACACAAAGTATAACCGTTGCTGTCTCAGGAAAGGCCTGGGGGAGAGATGACACTTCAGTTTATACTGTCTGGAGGAGATACATGTTTGACTAGAATGAAAAGGCCAACTAAAATGACTACAATAAGATTTGTTTTTTTAATCCTCAGTTGAATTCTAACCATATTACTCCTCCCCAGAAGAAGCTGAAAAACACATAGAAAGCCAGGGAACCCCATATCACAAAGTGGTTTATCCATGTCCAGTGCCGTGTATCCAGAGCCAACTAGAATGTTGGAGAAAAGAAAGTAGTAAGAGATCTTTTAAAAAACATATAAAAGAACTTTGCAAAAGACATGACTAACAAAATATCTGCTTCAAACTCATATGTCCACTCTAATGATAGACGTTTTATAAATGTCAAAATAAACAGGGGTAGAGCTTACCTTTAGTGTTACAGTGAAAACAAGGATGGTGAATACAATCGTTCCATATGACCAGTTCCCAAAAGCCTAGAGTCAAAACAATAAAACAATCAGCAGTTGTACTTAGGAGACTGTAGATATGAAACCTGTTTAGAAGTGGATTTGAATCAAACCTGGCCATTATCCTGCAGGGCTGGGTTGCTGAACAAAAACCAAACACCAAAGAAGAAGACCAAGCCGTGGAAGACTCCCAGTAATGTCCAGTAGAGAAATGGTCCCCACCGTAACATGGCATTCTTACCGATCTGTCTAAAGATTTGAAAGAGGAAAATTAACAAATTTATTTACTTACTGTGTCTTTGTGTAACATTTCCTGTTTATCACACAAAAGGACAACACCATTATATAACATATTAATGGTGGCCAAAAAAGTTACTGTGTAAATACAAATGAGCTACCATCAAAATTAGTTAACTCAACTTCACCAGAAGAACTTTGTAACCTGTTCATTAAATATTTATTTTTACTTTTTTTTACTTTTAAATTACGCCTGAACCCAAACCAGGACTTTATTTAGTAACAATATTGTATTGTATAGTAAAAGTATACAATATAATTCTGTACCTAAATTCAAAATAAACACATTAGTCTCCAGATAGTGTTACCAATTCTTTAAATAGTGAAGTGTTGCACAGACACAGAAATCCTTCCAAGTCTAGATTTAAAACCTAAGAAAAGAATCTCCTAATCTCCATTAATGTGGGATTTTTGATGAAAGGACAGAACATAACAAGCACATCTACTTTTATATCCCAGTTTACCTGTAGAGGGTAGCATTTTCCAGGAGCATCTCAATGGAAATATGCTGTTCGAAAAGACTGTAAGCCAGGATGGGCATAGAGGTGAAGCAGATGTTGTACATCGTCAGATAGGCCGCATCATACAGGGGCTGGGGAGGATGGGAGCAGGAGGAAAGGTTGACGAGGGAAGGGTTGGTAAGGAGGAGGAGGGGTTAATATCACAGAGAGGACACAACTCATACACACAACCATAACTTGAGCACAGAGCACGTCATGAGCAAGCTTATATACATCTTTCATGTGCTTGTGAAAGATCTATATCAGAGACCAGTGGCATGATGGGGAAACCAAAAAAAAAAACCAACAAAAGAAAAGAAAATCACCTTCACATTTCACACAAAAATATAATCACTCGGTGATCTTAAAAAGGATGACAGATGTCATAATAATAATAAAATGAATCCTTGTGCTCAAAAGAATTTCCATGAGATTTTTCTCCTATTTTAATTTTTTTTTCGAAGACTAGGAAAACAAACAAATGCCACCAGGATTCCAAAATATCCATATTGTGTCATGGTGTATTCGTGGTGGCACAACATGACCGGCATGAGTTTTGCCTATTTATATTGTATGACGATAACAAAGTGCATACATCCCAGGGACAGTGAGGAAAGGGGATTGTGAGGACAAGAGCTGAGCAATCGGGAGCACACAGAGGTGTGATTTTAGGAAACACTACTTCCTTTCATGTTCAGAATGTCTTTGAACCTCAATTAGATATACTTACTTGCTGGGAACAGCCGCAGAAGAACTGGTACAAAAACTGTGGTAAGATGAAGCAAAGATTCTGCAGGCGAACAGAGAATGAAAACAGGGTCATACAGAGTTCAACCTAAAAAAATCAGTCTCGCATGTAAGACTATATGTGTATGAGCGTGTTTGTATCCATCCATTTCCTTCTGCTTATCAAGGATTCAGGATTGCGGTGGAGCTAAAGGTTGTCGGTCTATGGCTAGACTGACAAAAAAAGAGACAATCACTCGTGCTCACGTTCACACCTGCCAATTTAGATTGTGGGAAAGCCAATGTATACAGTGAGAGGCCACGCACAAGCAGGGAGAACATGCAAACTCCAGTCAGCCAGTGGATCCAAACACAGAATCTTCTTGTTGTGAGGTGACAGTGCTAACCACTGCACCAGTGTAAAGATACCAAATGGCTTTTGGTGGCTACTAGATGTTGACCAATATAGGATTTTTAAGATTGAAACTGGTATTTACTGATTTACAAATCCAATGTATGGGTCAATATTTCTTTTCATTCAGGCACACGAAATGCCCACATATATCACAAACCTTTTTTATCTGACAAAATGTAACCATGCAGGTTAAACATTAACTTGTTTTATTTCCAAATCAAGATGCTGATTAGTCATTTACACTCTGAGCACCTGATCGTTGTGTTTGTAGCATTCCAAACATGTGTTTTCACAAAGGGGAAGTTACAACTGGTGGAAAACATTGAGACCCATATTATGGTCACGTTATGCTGATACTGACATATCAGCAAAAAGCTAATATCAGTCAAACAATATATCTGTCAGGCTCTAGTGGGTGCTCCTAGTGCTCCTGGACACAGAATCTCCACTTACCTTATAAAAAAAATACTGCACCAGGTGTGCAATGCGAACATAGTAGAGATGCCCATGTCCCAACAAAAGTTTCTTGAGGTGCTTCAGTTTGGGGATGGCATAATCACTGTTCCTCACCGCCTGTCGACCCTCTTTCCCCTTAATGCCTGAAACACCAAGGCCCAAAACAAATTACACATTTCTGCACTCCACTATACATAGAACAGTAATTAAAGATGGCTAAATCAGCTTCAGCATCACATTTCTTACCAATGCCTACATGAGCTTCCAAAATCATGCTGACATCATTGGCTCCATCTCCAATGGAAAGGGTGATTGGGCTGCCTTTGGAGTTCTTCACCATTTTAACTATCTATAGATAGATTGATACAGAGGCACAACAGCTGAATAAAATCAGAAATAATCTTTCACTGTGAAAGAAATCAATTCAGTTTTATTTCTCAGCTTATTAAATCACTGTTCTGACCTGTGCCTTTTGTAAGGGAGCCATGCGGCAGCAGAGCACAGACGTGCAGTTTTGACATATCTGCAGAAATAGGTCCTTATAGTCATGTAAGTTGTTTTCAGAGGATGAGTTGAGCACCATCGACAGAGTGGCTCCATCTACTATAAAACCATAATCCTGGCTGGACCAATTCCTGCAATACAGAGTAGACAAAATAGTTTAATCGTTACTAATGTTTTTTTTTTTTTTTTTAACTATTGCCCCACAACCCCCTAATAAAAAGCCAAAACAATAAATAAAAATCAGAATAATGTCAGTACATAGCACACAGACTTTTGTAATCTAAGGTGCCAACCTGGCAACACGTGTCTTTGCTGGTGGTGCATCCTGTACAGTTTTCTTGTGGTACTCGAGCAAGAGGTCATGCAGTCGGTCCTCACGCCTTTTTCCTGGAGACTCTAGAGTACGCACTGTTAGCTCCAACAGCTCTGTGTTCCTCTTGAACAATCTGCAAGCATAGCAGGTGGATTTGGCCGTCTCCATCTTGTCTCCTGTTAAGACCCACACTTTAATACCTGCTCCCTGCAGAGCCTCCATAGTCTCTGCTGCCTCCTCTTGAAGACTGTAGAATAACAAATAGAAAAGGATCATTATGACTACTAGCAGCAAGAATGCCTACAATTATGTATAGTTTATATACATGTGTTTAAAAAAAAACAAAACAAAAAAAAAAGCTAAGCTAAATTACCAAATTTCATGTCATAATGGTTTGGGAAGGTGTGGTCCTTTAAAAGTGTGAGTGTTTGTGTATTAAATGATGAATAAATGGTGATTCAGGAATATGTTTACTTCCTTTGTTATAGGCAATGCATGTGTTTTAGACCTAAACTTTTGCAATTTATGCAGTCTATTTTTAAAAGCTGGAATCTTTGATTGTAGGTCACAACTTAACCACAAGATGGCAGTGTGAGCTTAAATTAAAACGCTCTAAAAAGAAGGGCTTTTAGCTGATATCAAACTAATCAGATGAAAATAGAAAGCCAAAGTCATACATGGTGAAAAAAGTGACAGTTGATGACATTTAAAACATCCCCAAAGGGAGGAATTAACTCATTGCAGCAACATAAAGAGCAAGTCCAGACAAGGCTTGGTGATATGCTCATCACAGGCTTTTGCACTCCTTTTTGTGCTTTTGCACTCACTCCTCTTCCTTTTGGCACTGATGTTTATTAAGGGGCAAGAACAGCACAAGTATGTGGATTTAAGGATATTCAGCAGGTTTCAACACGAAAAACTACGTCCAGATGAACAGAATCAACATATTTGGGGTTTCAACACAGCAGTTTCACAATTAAGAGCATCACAGTTATACATTTTGTGTGAGCACCCACCGATCTTCAACAGCAGTAGCTCCAATTAGATTCATTCCAGTCTCCACTTGGTTGTAAACAGCCATGAGCTTCTCCTCTCTGTCCTGCAGAGCCAGTCTAGCTTCCCTTAATCCTGAATCTACCTGGTCATACTCCTCAGCAGTAAGATGTTTGTAGGCCACACACAGTGTCCGGTAACCATCCTAAACAGTAAAATAGCAGCTGATGTTATAAAAGACAAAATGTTATGCAATGAAATCATTCCAACAGTTGAAAATTTAGGAAAACGAGATGTTTTCCACCACGTACTGTTGCATTACGCTCCACATGCATGCGTATCTTTTCAACTTCCTCCTGTTTGACTCGGGGGAAGATGGAGGAGTCGGCTCCCTTACAAAAAAGCAGTGTTTCACCTGGGCACGAAAAACACACTATTATACAGACACCCAGCATCAGGGATGTGCTGGCCAACGCTATTTTATTAGCATTCCAATAACGTTGACAGTAACCTTAAGCTCACCTGATATTGATCTGACAATTACACTCATTCGCCTTCTGACTGGGTCAAAGTTCAACACATGAAGCAATTCATACCTAAAGGATGTACGCAGAGGAAATAAAAGATGTAATTTAAATACAAACAATAACTGAGATTTTAAAAAAAGAAAAGACATTCCAAGAAATGACTAACTTACATTTCAACGTCATTTGCCCTGTTGAGAATTTTCATGGTTTTACTTTCGAGGCCAAGAAATGTGAAGCCGTACCTGAGATCGAGACAAATCAAAACACAGATGGCTTTTATGTTCTCAATAAATATTATAACGAAATTATACCAGTTACATTTTCCTTAGGTTTATCAATTCCAACTGTGTGCTTGTCAAATAGCCACCTGAAATCACTGAGTCATGACACCCAACCTCTTACCTCATTGCACCCTGGACCAAAGCAATCTCATCAGGTGAGGAGGCTATAAAGCCCCTCTGCTCCTGCAGTGGAGGGACCACTTGTCCATCTACCATTAATCCATCCACCTGGTCTATCCGTCCATCTTGACCTTGACCCTGCTCTGTAGACTCCTTTACCTGGACTGTGTGGCACAGGCACAGGGCACGCAGAAACAGCTCTTCCCTTTCCTATGAAAATTACGTAAACGTGGCTTAATACTGTTAAAAAAAAATGTAGGGCTTTACAAGTAGAAAATTCATTCATAAACCTTAAAATAAATTCATAAATCTTTTTTTACTTAATTATTAACAACCAAACAAGGAGCTATATACAGTAGCTGGAGTTTGGATAACGCCTAGAATTTATAACCAAACTGACCCCTTATCAGCACAAGTAATTAAGTGCAATAGTCTGTGAAGTGTTATCAAGCACTCGTGTCAGGAGCATGCAGCTCCTTCCCTCCGCTATGTTATAGCGCATATGTCGACATGTCAAGGAGAATGTACCAGGGTGACCAATAAAGGGCCTTTCTGGGCATCGAGCTATGTAATGGCCATATGTTAATCCTTGTATGACTTTTACAACAGATGGCGGGACACCACAACACTCACCCTGCCAGCTTTCTGTTGTACTGTGTTCATAGGTCCATCTGTAACGCAGAATCCGTCCACTTCCGAGCTCGCATCCCTGTACTTGTATTGGTGGCCATCAATGCAGCACTCTATGAACTCCATGTTATTCTGAGTTAGGGTCCCCGTCTTGTCTGTGAAGACGTACTCCACCTACAGGCAACATGAAAATAAAAATGACACACACTTCCAAAACCATAAGAATTCAGTTTCTCGTTTAAAAGCCTCCAACAATAATATTAGGCAATTACTTCCCGGAGGAAATTACACTGCATTAATCAGTTTAACGGAGCATCACCTTTAACTCAAATAATCATCTGGCAAACCAAGTGTGACTGATCTATGGCAGCGCCCTTTAAGTCAGCAGTGCCATAATAAAAATGAAACAAGGAAAATTCATTTTAAAGAAGCACTTACATTAGTCTCGGGTAGAAGTTTTGCTTTTTAAAATACACAAAATTCAGTATAAAATATAAACTTGTTTGGATGGAAAACTACATCATAGTGCTAGTGATTGTTCTACAGATTACATCTGGACATCGTTCATAGATGCTGGAGATGAAATGTTCAGGAAAAGCTTTAGAGTTTTTATAAACAATAGAGGAATTTAGTTAATATAACTGAAAAATTTTGGACACAGAAATGCAGAGTTTACAGAAAGCATAATGACAGATATTTCTGACCTGTCCCAGCTCTTCATTGAGGTCCGAGGTGTTGACCAGTGCCCCTTCCTCAATTTCACTGTCAAAGAAATCTTTATCCCAGGATATGAAAAACGATCCCAAAAACTTCTGCATTTCAACGGTCACATACATGGACACTGGAATGATGAAGTTGAAGAGCACCATGAAGGACAGGAAGTCGGTGAACATGTTAAGGTACTGTTGGTAAAAAAACAAAGAGGCACATAATATATTTACACATATAGAGAGAGAGATATATACACACTGTATTTATATGTATAGAGAGAGAAAGAGTGAGTTGCGGTTTGCATCATTTTCTCCATAACCTAAGCAATTCTAAGAAACCATTCTGCAGTCCTAGACGTCACTGTTTATACTTGCAACAAAAATGAGGAAATGGCAGTCACAATGTTGAATGCGGGCTAAAGCAGAAGGTTAACAGATGACATGAAACGGACTACATCATATGGCAACAGTGGCCATTTTGCTCATTTTATAAGAACTTTAAAACTATGTATAGAGTTCCCTCAGCAGCCCTTTAAGGATTATAATAATTACTATTGAATTAACATAGGCCTCAGTATGTATGTATGTAGTACACAATAACAGTATGATGAAACTTATCTAACAAGCCATATTAGTCATTTTTCTTGCAACAGCTGTTCTTCTAGTTCTGCTTTAGACATGTTTTATTTTCCTCAGTCACTTTTCCTTTTTTTTCCTATAATGTTTGTTTTCATTAGTTTTCTAAAATGCAAACTCACCAGATTGGTTTCCTTTTCTTTCAGAGTTTTCTCGTTGTACCAGGGCTCATCCTGTCCAGGCTTGCTCTGCCATACATACTTAAGTGTAGTACACACTAAGGCCTTGCTCACTAATATGCAAAGGTAAACCAAAAGGAAGGCATTGATAGACCTGTAGACATAAAAACTCAAATTAGTGAGTATCAAATGTATTTTTTTTAGACTTGTTTTATACATACTGTTTTTCCCTGTAAACTTACTTTTCCACAACAGAGCGTTTCTGAGATTTTCCTTGGTAGTTAAGAGCCATCTTTGTCTCCATGCCGGTGTAAACTGCAACACCTTAAAAAAGAAAATAAGAAAAGACATCAGTCTTTAAGATATCGAGCCATCTTTAATATGGTACCAGTAAAAAAAGCTATTATTGACTTACCACAGATGCTTTGAGTGTTCTTTAAAGTTGCTCCTTTCAGCAGGAGGTTTTCTGGGCCCAGTGACCTGCACAATCACATCAGTAGATCCACCTATTTAGTCATACAGTTGCTGTGGAACCCACACCCCTCTATCCTCTAAATGGAAACCTGGCAGGGAAGCTGGCATCCACTCTAATATACGCAGTGACAGTACACACTATGCCTGCAGTCTGGGCTCACACCAGTTCCAATGTTCTTGAGAAGGACACTGGCATTTGTTTATATGGTCATTACAAAGCAGTCAATGATAAATGCCTGTGGGAGTGCTTTGGAAGCAGTGGCTAAATCCCTGCCAGTCTGTTTTTATTTTAATGCTTGTCTGCTATAAAGGATCAATGAAATAATGATTTGCTGGTTATGTAAAGGGAAACAAATAAACAACGGTTTAGATTTTGTTTCTTTAAACTATGCAGACTTGGTTGGACACGAGTGCTCTCACCTTAGCGAAGGCTCCTCATTGTTTTTGTAGATGTGCATACGACCGACAAACCTGGAACACAACGGCATATGCTCAAACAGATGAAGTGATTTGTGAGCAACTATTGTGTTAAGAGTGGAAGAGATCTGAACTTGAGGTATTCGAATCTTTTCTGAGTTCATTAATTACTCAAAGCTAAATATTCACTGACCTTAAAATCTAGAAGTTTAGAGTACTGCCTAATACTTGTAGTCCAGCTATATTGTCACTTTCATTAGCTCGGAATATTCACGCCTTCATCTTCAGGTATGATTTTAAATTATAATAGTTTCACTGCTTGCCCCAAAGTTGACCTATATAGACATATTGTCTTTAGACATAGAACTACACTTAAGTAAGAATTAAGTTAGTCTTGGAGAGACCAAGTTATTATCCCATAAATACACTATGGCTTGCCGACACATTTTTTTTTAACAATCTGCATGTTAATATCAGAGTCATTGAAGACATTTTTTTAAAAATCTGGCATTAAGTTAATCCACTCCTCAGCAGATCACAAGCACCACATGCTTGTAGTGTAAATCCGTTGGGACCACATGATGATTGCCTACTTGTAAAGGTCAGGCTGTGGCTGTTCGCACTCAATGGTGGCGTTGAGAGATTCCACATCGCGCTCTGTGTCTGGCACTGTGTAGTGTGTCTGGACAAGTAGAAGAGGCAGACCGAGAAATAGCGTGAGCTGTGACCAACTTAGGTCATTGATCGCTTTAACTTCCACTGCTTCTCACTCACACACAAAACGGAAAATTAAGAAGGAAAAAATACCAATACACTCGAGCACAAACAGACAGGAACACAATTTTGGCAACTAAACAAAAGTGAAACCTCTTTAAAGTGAGACCAGCATTCAATGAAAATAAATCAAGATTCCCTGAATTATAACTACACAATTATTTTAACATGTATCTAGGCAAGTGCAAATGCATTCTTTACTGTTCTTCTACATCCACTCCTCCTCTCTTATTACCTAATATTAATCAAATGAACGCACATTAACTATAACTTCATCTGGAACTACTTTTAATTCAAATTCTTCTATGCAAAACGATTGAAAAGTAATACACTTATCTTACTTTATGATTCGATTCTCCATCCAGACTTGCTGTGGTAACAAAACATGTGCCATCATCTCGGCTAGACTGCAGCAATATTAAATCACAGGGAAAGGTCTCGTCTTCCTCCACCTCCAAAACATCTCCCACCTGGAGAAGCACAACCAAAGACCATTTGTGAAGACACGGTGTGCTTTCTCCCTCTTTTCAGAAGAATCGCACACAGGATGAATGGCAGAAGTTCAAACAACTTTAAATTACTTTTATCACTAAGAAGACTTATAAATACATATGACTGCCAGGTCCCTGTGAAGTTGTTGTGATCAGTGAGTAAAAACCCAGATACTAAAAGTGAAAACAAGAACAATCCATAATCTTCTTTGAGCTCAGGTTTGGACTGCCAAGCAGTGACAAAAACCTGCCTGTATTTTAAATGTTTATTTTAGCAAAAGTAGCTAGCAGTAAGCTTATGTTGGCTCCTATGCTGGGAACAGCTGTTTTATACAACGCATAAACAACACATAACAAAGCTTTGGTATTGACAGCTGTATGCCGAGTGGTGTCAGCTGTACGAGCAGATCTCTACCGTAATAAAGTTAAATAAATAAATAAAAGATGACCAAATACAAAATTTGTTCATTTTAAAATCCTGAAAGCTACTTAAAGTGAGCCAGCCAACTATAGGTCTTTAAAAGTAGAATGCACTGGATAAATAAGTTGCCTTTACAAACATGTCTGAGCATCAGATCAGCTCAGGAGACTATGTTCTCCCTTGTGCATATATCCCAAAAAGTCCTGTATAGCTGCCAGCAGCCTTTCTCTGCATATATATTTTATTTTTCACTTCAGCTAGGATGCATCTGCTGCTACAAAGTACCTTGATCTTCTCACTCTCTTTTTGTATCCTCCGGCCATCTTCAAGCACTGTCACTCGGTACTTATTCACCTCATTGTCAGCCTTGTGCCGCAGCCAGTCCTCATATCCCTGTGGCAATATATCAAAATCAGAATAGCATTGCTTAGCACAACAAAAAGTAGAAACCTTTTCCGTGACATCTGTACCTATGGGACACTGACAGTTATAACTGATGTCAGAATAAAAAGGCACACAGTACCGCACTAGCTGTCAAACTAAGGGGTGTGCCCTGAATGTTTTACGGCTTCTTAATGGTGAAAGAAGTTTCAGCAGACTACAAGCGGCATCCGTCATTTCCATGGAAGAGTATAAAACATGAATGTCAATTCATACAATTAAATTTCCACATCCAGCATGTCATCATTACGTATAGAAGTGCCTACAGCAGCAGAATGAGATGGTGATTGTCCAGCAGTGCAGAGAAACAGTATAAAATGAAATAATACTGAGTCAGGTAAAAAGATAATTTCAAAGGCTGCAGCAGCAAGAGCCACAAAACCAAGTGTGGACTTTATGAGGTCTCTAAGATAGTGATGGATATGGAGGAGATGAGAATAGAGGGGTAAACCAAAATGTGTGCCAAGGCTGAGTGTGAGCCAAAAGGCAGGATTACAGGATAATAGGAGGATCAAGTCTGGTTTAGTGATGCAAAGATTCTTATTCCTATTATTATTATTATCCATATAATTATTCAGTCAAAAATACAAACAATAATGAAGCATCTGCCATATAAATTAGTTCACACAACCAAAAATGTGAGGTCTTGGTCTCTGTTAAACAAAAATTTCACTTAAATACATGAACATTTTATATAAGGTTATCGAGAATCATTTAGTTCTTAACGGGCTTCTCGTTATTCTTTTCCATGTGTTATATCGTCCTTTTCTGTTGCCAGTGCTTTGCCACACTCAGTTTGCATTAATAGGATCATCCCTCTCCTTCATCCTGGACTCAGTTTAGTTCAAAAGTCAGTTTGAAATTATTTTTCCAAACTTTCTGGCAGGAAGTATACAGCCGGAGAGGAAAGACCTATTTAAGCATGAGTAACACCTTATCTTCACCATCTCATTCACCGTCTTTATGTGTGGAGGAACTGCCTGAGCCTTGTTCACAGAACTCCACAGTATAAACCAGTGTGAAAAAATATACTAACAGCACTACCGTGAATGAACACGGACATGTGTTATCAGTGTACCCCATATATTATTGTAAGGAAATCCACCCATTATTGTGCATTTCAAAGCTGCAGCTGTAGACTAACTAAAAAGCCAATCTTAAAACAATACATCTAAAGCTGGGACAGGGAAGCAATAGAGTCAAAGAAACAGATACTCCCCTTGATAATTTGTACCTCTGAAATAGACTCTCTCTCTTCATTTGCTAACACTCCCCTAGAGGCTATTTCATCTACACCCCAATCAGAATTCACCAGCAGAGCACATTAATACAAAACCCAAGAGAGCATTAGGCACGTACTTTACACAAAAATCACACCAAGGCAGTTATGAAGAAAGGGGGGCTGTGTTATACAGAGGAGGAGGACAATAAGACATGGCTATTTAAAAAAAAAAAAATCACAATAAAGTGACTGCTACCAAAACTTACTCTCATTAGGAACATATCTTACCTGCTTGATAGCAGTTACTGTAATCACAAAAAATAATGGTAGGCCACTGGTGACTGGGCTGGTGGGGGTATCCACTATCACCTAATAGGAAGAAGAAGAAAAGAGAAACGCAATGTTAACGCTCAGCAATAAACATATGCTTTTTTGTTTCAATGCCAATGTATTACATACATCACTACAGAGTCCTCCTACAGCAGCAATGTGTGGTAACGGTTTGCATGATGAGGCAGGCCCTCTAAATGCAGGGTGTAGTCCTTTTCTACTACTTCCCATATTTGTTCATCAGTAGGGAACACAAGGGAGACATTTACATTTTGGAGGGGAGAGAAGGAGGTTCTGGACCACGGAACTTTTAATCAAGTGAGCCAGGGATAGAGTGCTTAATCTGCAGGCATTCCAACACTACAGTGTCTCTGCCAAGGCATGGAAGAGGGCCAGCAGAAAGCTTTGACAAACCGACCTTACCTGCCTGAGGATTTCGTGAGAGAATCTAGAGGTAGAGTATGGGGATCAGACTTGGTTTTTTGCATTTATAAGTCATGTATGTAATAAGAATGTGAGGATCAGGTAAACATCCAGCTTAAGAGCAGTGGCTCACAAGGCACCCAGCTAAAATCTCAGCAAACAGAAAGCTCTTTGTGTTTATGTCACCTAAACCTATCAGAAGGATTTACGCTTGCATTTCTGATCCTGCAGAATGCAGTTGGGCTCCCCATGAGCCAGACTGGATGTTACAGCACATCCAGCTCATTCATATTCTGACCAGGAGCATTACAAAGTGTCAGATAGACATCGGCTCAAGTAGGATATGTTTTGATGCAGTCTCCAGTGTTCCTCAACTGCACTTGAACTGAAAATTAAATAAAAATGGCAGCAAACTTAGTAAGCACTGTCTGACACAAACACAGATCCACATACTTTACCCATTCAAAAACACACTCATAAAAGTACAAGGGCAGTGCACTAGAAATCCATCCGAACCTTACTGTGATTACAGTTCATTAAAGGATAAATCAATTACAAAGCAGAGACAGACAAGTTCACCTCCACCATTTGAAGATTTAGAGTAGTGCATTATGTTTGTAGCTATTCTGGTGAGACAAAAGTATTAATATTGCCGCAGTGGCCTGATGTGTTGGAGAGCCAGCAATCATTCAAGAGTATTTGGGGGTATACTTTCAAGAATCTTTAGATCTTAAGACTAGATAGCTACACAGTGATGAAAGTGTCTCTTGAGAAAAGCAGCCAATGAGAACTGGACTAAAGAGAAGGTGACCCCTAAAGGCAGATGAGCTAAATCAGCTTGTTTGAGATAGTGGGTAACCTAAGGATTTGCACCAATGCCCAGTATAAGATTGCAAGTTATTTTGAGCTTTGAATTATGAAATGCTAAACTAGTAGAGATCAGTAATAAAAATATGGAGTTGAACATGAGTATAATAGGCCCCCTTTAATGTCCATCACCTCTTGTTCACATGACTGGATTTAGATTTGTCTGATCACAGAAAGAAAAATAGAAACTAACGTCTCTCTGATGCAGCAGCCAGATGGCAAAACCCAGCAAAGGTTTACCACAGTATAAAGAAAATGCTTTACAAAGCCAACTTTCAGCCTCAGAGTTGTTTGATTTTGATTTATCCTTAGCCACTGTTCAATAGAGGACTAAAAAAGAAAGAGCTGATGGTGGCATTTTATCTGTTCATCAACAAAACCCACACAAAACAACCTTAATCCCACACTATAATACAATTTCAAATCACTTGACAGGCCTCGAAGACATAGCTGTATCTAGGACAGCCTCCATTTTTGGAACAGACGGGTTTTTTACTGAAATTTAATGCATCTATATTAAACCTGCTTAAACTATTTTTGCTGTTTAGCTATAATTTAAAAAAAAAAACTATTTGTGTTTAATACTAAAACCACTAAGTGGTGCTTCCTTGTTTTGGTGATTTAAAAACATCAAGGTTGTGTAGCCCCAGGTGGTTTCTGAACATACATGCAGTTTGATCTCACTCAGCACAACGTATCCATTGTCAGGAATATCATGGACAAATGGAACATTTTTGGAAAGCACGTGTGCCTCTACTTATACAACAGCAATGGCTCAGTGGCAATTTAAGTATAGCAGAACGTCACTATATACACAGCTACTCCTAAGAAAAATAAAACATTCATATACTCAACCTTTTATCAATTCATCTGCACCCTTTAAGAACAACCGTCACCAACTTTATACACACTTGCCTCCACTGCACCAAATGCAAAGCCAAAAAAAAAGAAAAAAAATCACAGCAATAAGAGTGTACTGCTGCTGATGTGCTGGTGTGATATCACAGCAGCAGAACGGGGCAGCAGAAAGCCCTTCATCTGAGCCGGGAAGTGTGTCAGAGTGAGCGACAGACAGCAGTTCCCCGGGGTCCCAAAGCAGTGGGTCCTCGCATCCTCCCACCCCTTCGTCCTCTCTTTTTCTTTCCACCCTCCTCGGTCTCTCCTTTTCTCTCACCCTCTCAACACCATTTCTCCCACTCTCTCACAGTGCTCTATTCCCATTCAATCAAATTCAAGCAAAGACACACAGGGCTATTTATAGGAGAGTGGTGCTTTTTTATCAGCCTGTGTCTATTTGTGGCACTCAGATGTACAGAGGGCTTCCTGGCTGCTGACGTCAGCAGTGCAGCGCTGCAGCGAATTGGAGGTTATGTGAGACAGAAAGACAGAAAGAAAGACACCAAATGACAATGTGAGACAAAAGGAGGATAGAACAGAGTTGGAGGATGCATGACATTTAGTTGTTGGTAGAGTATTTGCATTAAGCCTCTCGGGGGAAATGTGAAGGTTTATTTCTGTCTGTAAGATGCAAGTGCAAAATGAGCGCACAATCTGTGTACCTGTTTCACACTATCTAATATAATAGCAAGCTGCATAGGAAAGACTGAGTGGTTAGGATAAGGAACCCCTCAAGTGAAACTGGATTAGTGGAGAAATGCCAACCACACTGCAGCTTGGGTAAACACCCAGGACACCCACTGACTCATACATAACATCCGCAAGCTCACACACACATATACATTTATTCACACACAAACATTGTAAAATGAACACATCACAGGTAGAAATTCCTCATATTCACATACATACATTGATTCTTCTCACATTAATTCCATACAATAAAAATTCAGCATTCATACGCATTAGCTAAGACAGAATACAGAATAATATATATAATATAGAATTAATCCAGACAACTTGGAGAAGAAAGGCTGGGGGAAATGAATATTACACTTAATGTGATATTGTTTGAGATTAATTTCATTTCTGACACTGAAACATTGGGTTTCTGGGAACAGAAGCTCAGAGTCCATGACGAGAGAAAGGACTTCCTTCTTGACAAGGTCTAAAACGAGCACCTGTTTACACTAGAAGGCTCCTTTGCTGCCATAGTTTAGGTTATCGCTAAAAGGAAACCAGTTAGTTTCCATTTCCATGGACCACAAAAATGGATCATTAGGAAGAGGTAATGGAAGAGCAAAAGCAGATGTATATAACAAATCTTCAGAGAGGAGAGAAGTCATTTAAGAGTACAGCTGAAGTCTATTAGTTAGCGTCCTCAACCAGTTCAGTTTCCAGTAATTAAGCACGGACAAGACAAACCAAGGAAACAGTGACACAAAAAGAAATTCAGGGATTAGCATGAGAGTACTACAAACCTGTTAAAATGGGCTTCTCAGACAAAGTGAGAAGCAACTTTCAACTATTCAAATTTCTTTCCGTTTTACTTGAAAACCATGTGAGACCAGGTCTTGGATGAATGAGTTAGTTGAATTAAACTGCTGATGACTTGCCATAATGCTGAATTTTTCATGTTCTTTGAAAGTTATAAACAGGATTAAATGACAGACTGTGCATAACGCTATAACCTGAGCAGGGTGTAAGGGAGCGTAGTAAAGCAAGGCATTTAAACATGACCAATTGTACTGATCAGTGTGCCTTCAATATAAACTTTTTTTTTGACTTTCTGCAGTTCACGCAAATGAACACGCCCAGTAAGGAAATAAGGTAGAGCAGTTTCACATCTGTTATAATTGTACACACACTTATCCTGTTACTATTGCACACCTGCTATGGCTACATGCACATGGATGTAGTTTCTCACACCCCTTTTTTATGCAGGCAACACAGTCAGCATGTCGATCACTTACACTGATCTATTCAGACTTAATTTAAAAAAAAAAAAAAACACATAATGCGGCCCGAAACTAACCTTCATACGGAGGACCTGACTACAAATTAACACCATCAAATAAACAAAAGGCACCCACGAAGTCCTTATTTTAAAAAGATTATATCACTTATCACTGTTTGAGTTGGCAGACAGACAAAGCTTGCCCTTACCTGCACCAGGAAGATGATAAGGAAGTAGAAATTGGCAATTCTTCTAAATTGTTCAAACAGGTTCTTTGGTAGAAAGTTCCATACTGTATACTGTTGGGGGAGAAAAGAGGAAGCACATATGTAAAAACATGAAATCACAGAAAAAAAAAATGGAAAAAACTGCATGTGGACTTTCTTTGTTGCTCTGCGCTCTGTGGTTTTTCTACTCTACCATGTTTTGTAACCAGACTCAGGGAAGTTAAAGAAAGGCTTGGCAAAGGAAGAGAGATTAGAGACATTCAATATCCACAGTCCTGTATTTGTTTATTCTGTTTGAGCTGGGGAAGGAAAATAGGAAGGCAACTTCAATAGCTTATAGTCTCTGTTCTTTGCACCAACTAGGGAGACAGGCCTTGGGGGACCACAGGTATTCCACTGATTCAGATTAGATATGTATCTCTTATATTTGGCTACCCTTGAATGCAGAGTCAATGAACTTACGAGGTGGGTGACTGTTTTTGTGTTTTCTTTTTTTTTTTTTAAGTGGCCATGACTGTTGATATCATCAGCGCTGAAGCAACACTTATCTGCAAAACTCCCTGAGAGACCTCTCAACGATACCCCGCTGGTAACCTTGTGTCAATAACAAAGCACGTCTACACAGCTTTGCACAGAAACAAGAATAAAGCCCTTTTTTGTGGAGTGCATGGGGATAGTGTTGAAATGCCACACAAGCAGAATGGATATCTCATTTCGCTAAGAAGTAAAGAGGGTGAAAGCAACGAGAAAGAGAGGTTGGAGGGTGCAGGTGCAATGAGAACATGAGAGAAGAGGCAGAGATTGGACACTGCTGGAAAGAAACAGGAAGAGCAGAGGCACAAGGGAGAATAAACACTGCAGCTGGGGTAATTAAAGATTGCTTACCCTGACATACTGGCAGAAACCAATAGATTGACCCTTCCTCGCTGAGATGCGCTGCATCACTATAAATCCTAGAGCCATTTTATTATCACTTCACTTGCTTCCCCTGATCACTTTCACTTTAGATATTCAAAGCCAGTCAGTCAGTACTTTCCCAAGCCTGCTGTTGACACAGAACTAACAGGTAGAGTAAGACTTGGGTGGTGAAGAAGGGGGGTTGTAGTCAGAGCCCAGGGGAAGCCTGAATTGCCCACCGTTCCAGTACATTAATAGCAGCCATGTATTTCCTTGCCACAGTCTGTGCTTCACTGACAGACAAATAATCGCCTTCCATTGGGAGCCAAGACAAGTATGAGGAGAAGCAGTCGGAACAGGAAACAAAGGAAGGAAGCCACTGGAATGCTGATGACTGTTCAAGAGTTCATTTTGCAAGTGTTAAATAAAAAAACTGCCTACAGGTAGATAAAACATAACACAAGCTTAGGAACAAACAAAAGTCTTGGTGCATTGCCAGACTAGAGCCCTGGCAAATGCATGGGAGTGTAATGTTTTTACCTTCGAGGACACAATCCTGTTATCACAGAACTTGGGTGGGATGAAAACTTCATTGGCAGGACACGGCCGATGACCAACATAGATAGTCCTACTGCCTACTCTTCTGTCCTCACCACCAAACTAGAGAGGAGGGATGGGGGTTAAGATAAATAGAGGAGAGAGAAAAAAGGAACAGGACATGTTAGTAATTCACTCTTCTTCCTGTCATTTAAATACTGAATTCGGGTACAAAATCAAGTGTGCACCATACAACAGTCATGAATTTGTTGGGAGAAAAAAAGTCCAAATTTTACCCATGATCTAATACAAATTTAAAAAGATTGCATATTCTTTAATAGTTGCAGACAGAGGCAGTCTAATTATGCCTAAATTCCAGCCATATAATTATGAGATTAAAGTTTCGACTGTGAATCAGAAAATGAAGATTTGAAAAGTGGAAAACTGTTGGGCACTGGACAATATATTGTAAAATGGCTAGATAAAAATTCAATAAGGGCCAGAATCTTCAAGAGATTTCAAAATAAGGTGAAATTTATTTTCAGATTATATAAATGCATGTGCACTTTCTGTTATGTCACTATGTCTGTCATAGTGTCAAAATGTTCAATACAGTTAAAAAAAAAAGTTTAAAAAATTAATCAAGTGAAAACAGAGAGGCCAAAACCTGCATTTTCTCGTATATCCACACAACTCCATTGGGTCCAGTTGTTACCAATAGCAATCCGTTTAATATCAAAGTGAGTGAAGCAACTTATAAACTAGGTAGCTAGACATTTCAAACTTTAGCAGATAAAGCAAGAAAAAAAAGGAAAAATAAGTGGATTTCCAAATTTTCAAATGCCAAACTTGACACTTGGGGGATGTTGCATCTTTTATATACAGCTTAGATTTTTGGATTTTTGTTCTAATGCAGTATGCACTCTAATGTGGATGTGTGTGTTAATTTAATATTTGAAAGAGAAAACATTTGAGGAACCTGTTCAGAAACCAGAGGTATACTGTGTCCTGCCAAAATGATAAAGGCACATAAGGTAAATCAAACAATGCACAGAAGCCAGGTTGTTGTCATAACTTCCATGGTGCTCACCTTACATAAATCTCAAGAGCAACTGTAAATACCAACCCAAAAAAGGAAACTCACATGAGAAATCAAAGTGATAAATTGTCAGGTAGGACAACGGTTTATTCTTCTCTGTGTGGAAAAAAAGAGAAGACCATGACTACACATCTCCCACACACAGTGAACATTATTTTATTTAAGGTTTGTTAAATATGTCACTACACTGTTCCCTAGAGAGTTACAGAACTGATTTTGCAACTTTATTATTGTTCAAGGAAATATCTAGCCAATATCCATTCCGTTAAATACAGAAAAGATCAGTGCCAAGAGTGATGATTCATTATCACTGAAAAGGAAATTGGTCTATCCAAAATCAAAACAGAGTCCAATCTCAATTTTTTTGTCCCCAGAATGCCAAGTGTGACCTAAAAGTATTGGCCAAGCCATTAGGTGGACAGCTACAAGGGCTGGAAACAAAGCCAGTACAATGCATTAGCCAGACCTACAACAATACTTGCTTCCAATTCACATCTTTCTTATCTTCAAGGATATTCCCATCTCACTATAGAGAGATTAGCCTGACTCTGTTGACTGTAAATAATTAACCCTATTACATACAATAAACAAACTGTTGACCATTTAAATTATATCTATATTGTTTGTATACCTGAATATTTTCTTTCCCATGTTAAAAGGTTAGGCTTTCCACTGAGAGCTTTAACAACATGACGAGGATGTGTAATGTCAAGAGTTTGTGAAAACTTTTAAATTCAGAGCCAAAATGATTTGGAGAGCCTTAGTGGCTTTAGTTACTACTTTAACAGTTGTCAAAATATAAGAGACAGTTGTTAACTGCTTCTTTCCCCATTTCATATTTTGACATTTCCATTTGTAACCAATAGAAAAAAGGTATTGCACATGCAAAAAGCCAAATATACTGATAGACTGTGGCATTTTTTTGTGTGCAGCTGGGATTCTCAATCAAGAACAACCAGCCTTTACATTATGTCCAATCTTAACTTGTATCTCATCTTAATCGAACAGTATGTCAGAAAAATGTAGCTTACGGAACAGTTTTTGATGTATGAACTGCAAACAAACAACACCTCATAAAGCAAACCCCCAGTCACCCAGCAACTGGTCAACCAACTAAATCTGCCTTCTTAATGACGTCGGCAACTCTTCCATCTTTGGCCTGGATTGTGATTGATGCGTGGTTTCTCACAAACCTAACAGAGTTTTTAGGTTTAACCATTAACAAACACGCTATGGGTATTTATCCCAATGCATCATCATCTTTAAGTTAAAAATGAATAGTAGATCAATGAAATATTTTATGCTTAATGATCTAGAAGTTTTGACATTTTCAGAAACATAAAACAAAGTAAACCATGAAACCTTTTGGACTTTAGCTCAGTTTTCACAAACTGTATCACAAGATAGAGTAGAGGAGATTTATGTAATACCTTTTCTGTTAAGCTTATCTGCCGTTAAACAAGCTGCATACTGTAATGTGCCATTCTTCGATGTAGGAGTGAAACAAATTATCAACGACAACATACTGTATTACTACCAATATGATGCCAATATCAAGTGTTGTAATTTTTAAAATCAGCAGGTTCTATGATTCTCTATGGAGGAGCTTAGTCAACTTATTTTTATACTGTACTCATACGTTGGATAACTAGTGAATTTAACTGATTATAGGAAACCTGGCATACAGATTTAGTTTCCTGCTGGAATCACAGTGCTCTCATTTCAAAGTAGTACACACTCACCAATCAATCACTTCAACTGGGCATTGGGTTGGATACTCAATAATGGCAGAAGTGAAACTACCTCGGGCTGTCAGATACTTAGTCTTACAGCACTATATTCTTCAGAAAACCCATATATAATACACAGCTGACAGTGGTTTTCAGTGTACTTTCAATTTAATGTATGTAACCAATATCAAATTACTATATTTGACGCATAGTCCAAATGTACATGTCTTTGTTTAGTCCCCTTGTATTTATGTACAATTATGCACATTAACATTAATATCTAAAAAAAAAGAAAAAGAAAATGACCACTCTATACAACCACAACAGAAAGCACTACTTGCCAGACAGACAGGCGATTCATCTCTGGGATTAATCATAAACTCTTGATATTGTGAACAAGTACTTCATTTTCACAAGCCAAATTATTTTTAAAACAAAAAACAATGATGAATGCCTACTTTCAAATGTCATTGCATAAGCAAAAAATATCAGACACTGACACAAAGAAGACACACAGAAAGAGTGTCAGAAAATACGCTTGCGTGCTGTAGTCATTTTATTTCATCGTCCAAATGAGGACTCTAGCCACATGTTTTAAAAATAGCTATATTTTCTGTTCAAGCATAAGTTGTTCTGCTAATACTGTGACTGTAAATAATTAAAGTTGTGCAGCAGGGGATCTGCTTTATCTAATATAAAAGGCCAGTAGCATGTGGGCTGAGGAGACAAATTATCATGAACATCTGATCCTGGACAAGTGCCAGGGAACATGTGAATTGCGGCCACCTGGACAGCAAACTTCCCAAAGTCTGTTTCAGACAAGGGGTTAGATCAAAGAATGGCCTCAAACACTTGAAGTCTAATTTATGCAAGTAGGGACC